TACGAAAGACGTTACTAAAATAAGATTTGGGTGATCCTTACACTCATTAAGAGCTACTGTTTGGCCTACATATAAACTGGAACAAAAGATCCTTATAAGCCTTGCTTCTATCTGGTTACAGGAATGCTCTTACAGAAGCTCTAATCTGTAGGAAAATATACACAGAAAGGCAATAAGGCCTAAAAATCAGCTCTTCTCATTAAGACTCATGCAGAGTTACAGACTACTGAACAAGTACATACTACTCAACAAAGTATGAGAACTTCACTTCAGCACCACCCATTTGAATGGCTCCCTGGGGCCCAAATCAAAAGGCCCAGCTTTGAGCAGCCCCAACAGTGCTTCAAAGGCTTTCTGTTGGGTATCAAACCAAAGCAGGGCCTACAGCTAGCACTCTCACGGTATTTGAACCTAGATGATATTAAGCACTGTTACACATCTATATCCAAAGTTTATTCTGGACAAGGGTTCATCATAGAATAGCCCAGGTTGGAAGGGACCTCAAAAGATTATCTGGTTCAGCCTTTTGTGGGAAAGGAGTTATGGTCATCCACAGAAGTACACCACCTCTAATGTGAATGATTCATTCATAGAATCATAGAATCATTCCATCCACCTCAAGTGAACGGTTGCTTTTAAAAGAAATGTACTTGTATATATTGTCTTTACAATATGTCTCAATTAACACTTAACTCAGAAAGTGCCATAATGTCACACTGGTGTTTCAGGTCAATATGCATTTGTCAGTATGCATACTGGAAGGTGTGGTTTAGATTTCTGCATATCTGTGGAGGATTCACCATCAGCAGTTACACTGTCAAAGACAACAGAAGCAAACTACAAAAATTTGAAAACTGCTGAGAAGTTGGCTGATTAATTTTGGAAAAGGTTTTGTCTGAAAGGAAAGGGGGGAAAAAGGAAGCTAGTTACCATAATGGTTCCACAAAATGGCACTGAAACTTCCAATATAAATGAGTTTTCTATCAAGACAGAGAGATTTATTTCTTGTGAAAAAGAGCCAAAAAGATGTGTCAAGGTACTTTTGCCTTTCGTTTCAGGTATTGACAGGAATTGACATCAGGCAAAAACATGGAGCAATGCAAAGCATTCATCTTCCACTTGTCTATGTAAACAACGAAAAGAAGGTACTGGAAGGAGGTGGTCCAATAAAGCAGAAGCAACCAAGTATTTACTCAAGCAGCCAATCATCAAGTAATTTTATGTCTTGGTTTATGACAGAAAAAGTATGGAATAGAGTTTTTCCTGATCAGCTGTTCCAGGCAGAGTGCAATGATACAGAAGCTACATGTAGTCATCTACCCAATCACAAAAATCAACTACACTTAAAGAGAAATAAGCATTTATCCCAAATGCAACAATTACCTTAAATACTATATATAAGGTATATACTTTACATACTTCTTTACATCAGTGCTCTTTGAATAACTAGTCACTTATGAATATGTTGACTATGCCCTATTACTGAAAGTAAATAGGAAAAAAATGTACTTTAAACTTCATATCTGTCACAACTGTTCTGGATGTACATGTGCCAGTATGAATCTCAAAGCAAACTAAAGAATAAAGAAATTACAGTATTAGAAAAACTATGCCGCCCCTCCCCAGCAATGCTGTTTTCTGAAAAAGGAGTTTGCTATTCATTCTCTTACACGTATTCCACTGAAGATTATCAAATGCTCTCCTGAGAAATTTTTAGTTATTTTTGTACCAACATGAGGATCTCCTGAACTCAAATTCACGTACTCCCTTGAAATCCACCATCTGCCTGCAGGATACAATCTATGACCTTGCAGTTCCTAACACCCTCATGTTGCTGTCAATGTATCCAGCCAGGGCAAGGAAAGAGGAGCAGTGGGAACTGTGCAATACTATACAATGGGAAACCAGAGAAACAATTTATTGCATTAACTGAGATGAAAACACTATTTGTCCCAGATTTTGTGCAGATGGCAAGAGATGAGGAGAGTGTTGACAGTATTATGTAATTCCTCAGGCAGTCTGGATGTTAAAATGTCTGTCTGCACTGCATGAATGCAGGAAAGTCCCTGCAACAAGTGTCAAGGCAAAGACATTTCTACGCCTGGGATTATCTGTTTACTAGTGAATATCCTGGATAAACAGCCAAAAGTGTAACAATCAGACAGGCTCTGGTACATGTATAGAAAAAAGCTTTTCAGCCTTTTTTTTCTCTCCCTAGGAATAACAGACCCTTTTAGTGCCTAGAATAAAAGACCAGACTCTTAAAGCCCTGAGGGCAGAGCCCTGGCCCTGCCCAGTCTCCCCGTGGACTCCCCCTCCCTGCACCCTGCCCATGGGCTCACAGGGTCCATTTCAGCCTGCCCCAGGGGTGTTAGTCCCTGCCTGAGCTATTCTGTAGGAGTGCTTGTCTCCAGACTCATTTCTGACTCTGCTGCCTTGGGTGGACCTCAGATCTTTGCTATAGGTAGCTTCTCTCCCTGAGGGATCCCTTGGATGTACATTGTAGCTTGCCTCCAGTTCTGACTTTGACTCTGTCTCCTGGATGGACCAACACTGTTGCCTTGTATCCAGCCCTGTCTCCAGGCACATCTCCTGCTGCTCCAGTTGGACCCTGAACCTCACCCATCACTTGCCTTGTTTGGGATGGTCGGTGCAGCTTGTTACCAGTGCCTTACTCTGCCTGCTCCACTTGCCTGCTATAGGACTGTCCCCTGGACAACGAGAGTACTGCCTGTTGTGTAGCTGCTCTGGGTGCCTGCCTCCTATCACCTTGTGCAGCAGCCCCGTTCTTGCTGCTCCCTGGAAACAGTTTGTGTTGCTGGTGAGGTCACTAAACCTAGCAGTGGACTTCATGCACCTCTCTCAAGCAAGTCCATGCAGAACAGAGATGAAATGTAACAGTAGGGGGGCACGTTCCTCATTTTCTGAGGATAACCCCTGCTCCTTCAATCTAGTATCTTCACAAGTGGAAAATTCACAAAGAACATTTGCTATTTTCCACTCATTTAAAAAACCAAGTGTTAAATACTGGACATTGATTGTAGGTTACTCTAGGAGACACACAAGCTCTTCCAGCAGTTCACTTCTCTCATATTACATACCTCGTAACAAGTAAAGTAGAACAATCTGCTGATGCAAAAAGGATCCCATTTTAAAATGGTCTTATTTGTAATTAAATAGTCAAAACTTTAGCTAGATGAATGCTGCAAGTATATGCTCTATTGTTTTCTAGGATTTTTTGTGAGGATTTGTTAGATGGGAAATATGTTCAGATCACACTTTTTGCGTCACATGCCACAAGGTTACTCTAAGTCTACTGCAAACCTCTAAAATGAACTCTTAGTCTATCTCTTACCATGACATATTTTCACTTCATCCATGCTTTGCCTACATAGCACAAAGACCCATACTTAAAATGGTCAGCTTAATTGCAACTGACAAACAATTTGTACTGTAACAAAATTTGACATAGCTGTGGTGCATTGACCTTGGCTGGCCACCAGGTGCTCACCAAGCCGCTCTGTCACTCCCCCTCCATTCTTCACTGACCTAGGTGTGTGCACAGCTGTTTCTCCCACATATTCTTTCTCCTCCCTGCTGATGTGTTTTTTACCCTTCTTAAATATGTTATCACAGAGGGCTACCAACATCACTGACTGGCTCAGCTTTGGCCAGCGGTGGGTCCATCTAGAAGCCAGCTGGAACTGCCTCTGTTTGACACAGGGGCAGCTTCTGGTGTCCTCACAGAAGTCACCCCTGCAGCCCCCCCCCCCAAAAAACCTTTCCACATAAACCCAATACAGTAGCAAATGTGAATGGGGTTGTAGCAGTTTTCTTCCTTGGTCAAAATATATTTATGACCCTGCTAGCTTGCTAAACCTAGATGCACAGAAAAATAATAAAATTGCTAAAAAATGGTCCTTTACTCTGTTGGAGGCTTAACATTACACATATTCTATCCAAGGAATTACTGTGGATGCAAATTATTATTTTAAGAAAAAGCAAATAAAATTAATAGATCATATCTGCAGGAATGGAGTCTGCAACTTTTCTTGAAAAACTGAAGCACTTTTCATGACTGATAAACAACTGTTTAACAGCATAAGAAGAAACTCGCTAAGTTTATGGTGATTATTTGGTGAAAAAACAATGTCAAACATTTACCTATGGTTTAAATGCATTTAACAGCATTTATGTTTTGGGAAATTTGCATTTGCATTCCAGTCATGAATGCACAACTACATGGGACTTCAAACTACAGGGTTTTGATTTACTACAAGCCAAATGCTTATCCTCTCTTCCATGAAACATCCTTAGTCCTCTCTTCTTGTGTATCACAGCATGAAGGTGTTTTACTGGGAAAAATCTGAGAGTTCAAAATGTGATTTATATTATGAATCGTTTTAGGCGCCTGCTAGACTATACTGCAACTTGCTTTCAACGTTCACTCTTCTTAGGAAAGAGTCTGGTTATGATATGAGATAATTCTCAGACAGCTTCAAGTCTTTCCCTTACAAGGAATCCCTACATTGTTTAGACTCTGGCATCCGTATTTCCTAACTGTACTCTCATCGTGAGGAATCCCTTGAATGCTATAACTAAGTGATCCCCAGAAAATCTTCTTGAAAAATAATTACCTTTATTTTAATATTGTTCTGCAACTCAGATTACAACACTTAAAAAAAAAAAAGAGTGAAAAGTAAACTAGCATGGGTTTGCTTAATAGACTAAAAGTGCTTATATAAATGCCCAGCTTTTATCACCAGGCATCTCAGCCCTTGACATTCCTGGTTTTTTAGACTTTATACAAACATATATTAAAACTCCTGGTCCTGCCTCAAAACCTGTACAGTCACATGATTAGGAAAATCATCCACAAACACAGTAAAAATGGGTCAAAGTGCTGAGTGTTCCTTCTGCTTAAACAGGAAAACCTGCAACCAGTGCTATTACAGAGGAAGGGCATTGCTTATCAACTTACTACAATGCTATTGCATTACCTGTGGTTCCTTATTGTGTTGGCTAGGATCCTTTTCATAACTCTCTGCATAGATCCGGAGAGTAGCTCTCACATGGCTAGAAGCACTCATTCTGAAGATGAGCCTGGAAGCATCTGAAAAAATAATCCGCAGTCCCTATGGGAGAAGAGGGAGCAGCATATATGTAAGGTGGCAGTACCTTTACAAATCACAGTTCACTGCTTTAAAATAAAAAGTCAAAGGAAGAGTCATTTAGATGCAATTCCTCTTTCC